CTCACCGCCGCATCCTGTCACGGCTCTCTGCCGTGACAGGGGAGGGGCTGGATTCCCCCCTCCCCGCTCCGATCTGCCAGCGCTGACTGGCGGAACGGACGGGGGAGGGGGCGGGTACAGCTGGCTCTGCCTCTAGATAGGCAGAGCCAGCTGTCAGTCACACAGCTGGGCAGATCCCGGCGCAATTGTCGGGATCCGCTTCAGCTGCGGCGTCTCAGTATATGGAGAGCTACAGCTCTCTATATACTGAGCTTAGGGTGACGGGAGGACGGTTGTTTGTGTCCTCCCGTTACCCTAAGGAGAACTATGGGGGAAAGCCTTAACCCCATAGTTCTCCTTTAAGGATCACGGGAGGACATATACTAACCTCCTCTTGTGGCTCAGTATAGCGCGAGCTACAGGCTCGTGGTATACTGAGATAGCCTCAGCCGGGGCAGATCCTGACAATACTATTGAGATCCACCCAGCTGCGTGAGTGACAGCTTGCTCTGCCTATCTGATTTTCACTCTCCTCATAGTTCTCCTTTTTAAGGATCGTGCTCTCGGTACTGCTCTGCTACTAGCACACCTTCGCTTTATAGCAAAAGGGGATTATACCTTGAAATGGCCTCCCATATTTTTAAGTTTGCCAGTGCCCAGTCCTCCTGCAGGTGGCAGTATAACCCGAAGTTTAAAGGCAAAGTCCGCTAAATGAGAAAAGGTAATACATGCACACTTCTCATAAAAGAAAAAAAACACTTTATTTTGCATCCGTAGATTGCAGGGGCAATGCTCTGGCTACTGCAGACTCTTCCTCCCGTCCATGTCTGTACCACCCTAAGGACATTCAGTAACATAGACGGGAGAAATGATCTGCAGCAGTGGCGTCACAAGGGGGGGGTGCGGCTCGCACCCGGGTGACACCATTCAATCCATCTGAAAAGTCGGGCGGTCGGTCATGGACTGAACGACTGACAGTATCAGGAGAGGAGGGGACCCGGCGGCATACCTTATCCCGCCGGGTGGCTGTCTCCTCCTCTCTCTGCCAGCGTCCATCACCAAGATGGTCGCCGGCAGGTTTCGGAATACTGTCGCACGTGCGCGATGACGTCACCCAGCCTTGGGACGCCCCTGCTCTGCAGTAGCCCCTGCAATCTGCGATATGATAGATTACTGAACAATAAATGGACTACAAGCGTGGTGACATCACTACACTTGTATTCCATTGACTACAACTTCTCCTGCCCCAATCGCAGACGGGACTTGTAGTTTCCCCATTCACAGATTGTCGAAGGATCCTGTGAATGGATGGCGTGGCTGTGTGGGCCGAGCCACATGCAGCCAGGTTCCAAATACAGCAGCAGGTGAGCGGTTGCCGATGTGACCACGTTTCATGTTACACCCTGAATATGGCTATAACATGTAATATGGTCCAAAAGGTGAACTGTAGAGACGTCTTTATTGCTCCATGGGCTCCAAGCAAAGGAATTGACAGTGTGTACATCCATTATATAGAGTACAAAAATAAACTTTTACAAGCCAAGTCCAAACTGGCTAACAAAGGATGACAGAAGAACCTGGTGGCTCCTAAGACTAGACACTCGCTTCGTAATGCCTGACGAGTTCTCTTGAAGTCCCCCCCATAGGGTTACATTGTTGCCTTCGGTATTGCAGTAGGCCGACGGTCATTGCTTTTTATTGATAATGATTTAGAGGTTGTGCCAGCTGGCTTTAAAGTCTTTCTGTAGCCAGGAACGGGACTGTAATACATTGCAGCTTTGCTGGCGTTGCATGTAATGACAGTAACACGCTTCCTATCTTAGGGCGACATTGTCAACTTAGGCCGGGTTCACACCTGGGCGTTTTACAGCGTTGATTGAAGCGTTGTGAAACGCTCAAACAGTGGAATCCCATACTGCCCTACGGGCATGGTTCCCACCAGGGCGTATTTCAGCCTGTGGAAACGCGCTGAAAAACGCCCTACGCCCCCCAAAAAAATACAGGAGCTTCTTTGGGGCGTTTTTTTCCGCGCGTTTCCATTGGTATTCCCGAGTGTGGCTCGGGGTTAACAAAGCGGTGACCCCCGAGCCACACTCGGGAATACAGCGTAGGACTTACCTTGTCCGCGATCCCCGCTGTGTCCTCCGGCGGCTTCCGGGTTCCATCCCTTGCGAGCGGCTGCGTCGCAGGGGGGCGGAGCCGGTGGGAAATTTGAAAGTGAAGAAAAATAATTTTTAAATGGAGAAAATAAGGGAGGTGGGG